ATCAGCACTATTGTACTTGCCGGTTTCAAATTCTTCTATGATGATTATTAGGAACTACAAAAACCTGTCATGTAGCAGGCCGGGCAGGAACATTTAGTTTTACTGTTTGACTTAACCCTGTTGGTTCACGTGGAAACCTGCTGTTCAACCAAACATGCGAAATTAAAACTTGTAATTGATGAATAAAGAACGGTCAAAATGTGTGTTAGACTTTCATTTGGGTATTCACTTTGGGTTGGGTATATATAGAAGCTAAGCGCAGAAGGCACTTAAAGCCTAGAGCTGTCTTGAAAGCAGTTGAAATGGCTTGAGATCCCTTTTTTATGGTGGTGGGGGAAACAATCTCGTAATATCAATTGGGTATTTAGTGTTTCAATAATTGTAGCTTTATTATCTTGGTTTCACGAGTGATGAATTGAAGGATTCAAAGCCGAAAAAAGAATCATTGTCAATTCCAGGGCCAATGGGTCTCCTAATGGTTGGTAGCCATCGCTTTCTTGTCAATCACCTTCTCATTAATACTTTGCAAAGTTGGCTTCAGTATATGGCCCTATCATGAAAATACTTGGTTCACATTAAATGGTATTAAAGACAAGGACACAAGCTTTGCTAGCAGCAAGGTGTTGATCGCTTCCTTTGTCAGCTCATATGGGGTTGAGAGATTGTTTTGGTCTTCTCTTGGTGCGCATTGACACATTCCACGCAAAGTATGTGTTAAGGAGTTGCGAAACAGTGCAAGGCAAGATTTTCTCTATGGCCTTGGCCAAAGAGAGATTCGAAGAATGGTTAGCCAATTTTATGCTAGCAGAGGAACCCCAGGGCAAATCCATGAGCAGTTTCATTTTGCAATGTATAATGTGATGACTGGAATGTTGAGGGGTAGAAGACTTGAGGGAGAGGTCAGATGAGAGATCTCGAATTTGTAAAGAGTTTAGGCATTTTGTTGATCAATTGCTTGGGTTGAATGGCAAGCCAAATGCTTTTGATTTGTTCCCAGCAATAGCTTGATTGGACATACAGGGTTCGATTCGTCCGCAAGACAAAGGAACTAATGTCAGTGAACGATCACATAATTGATTCTGTTGTTCAAGAGCGGCTCAAGTCAATGAGGAAGCAAGAAGAGATGGCAGGAAGATCCCAGGTCCAAGAATCCCTTCACGATGAGCCATCTTAAGACCTTTTTATTGGTAATTAACATTCTCGTCTTAGCTTCCTAGTCATTTTAGCGTAACAAAAAGGCACAATTTGCCTCATATAATACCACGCTAGCCAAACTTAAGCCATTTTTTTCACAACAAAAAAGTTCGATGCCTTCATTTTTGACAAGACATGTGGTAGCTGGGACTACATCCACAATGACAGAAGAAATTAAACAACCAAAGATAATGAGGGAAGTCCGGCAAGAGTTGGAGGAAGTTGTGGAATTGAATACTGTGGCAGAGGAGTCTCATACCAAAACTGATATATCTAAATTCTGTAATGAAGGTCTTGCGATTGCACCCAGTCTCTCCTCCTCTGGTTCCTCAACGTGCAGACGCATCCTGTCCTGTTGGTGGCTGCTTGATTCCTGAAGGTGCTAGCTAGGGTCCTTGTAAATGCATAGACGATACACACAGATCCTGCAATTTGGGACAATCCGTTGGCTTTTGAACCACGATGCTTTGTTGAATTTTTTAATCAAACTATTAAGTTTTAATATTTCATATTCAACTTAAAATTAATTATAACCTATGAAAAGATTTTATTATATTTATATTTTTTCTTATTTCATATTTCATATTTAACTTCAACTTCAGCTTCAAATCTCTTTTTTTTTTTCAAATTATTGACTTTCAGATTCTCAATCTTTAAATTTATTTTTAATTATCTCTAATTGTTTAATCCAACCTTTGATGTTCCTTTTAGTTGTTCACACCATTCTGAACTGATTTTTTTTTTATTCTTGTGTATTTTCCCGTTGGTTTCAAGGTAGATTTTCAGGTTTCAATAGGTTGTGATTTTTTTATATTTTTTAAAAATGATTTTTGGATTTTCGGTTATGGATTTTTTTGACTTTATTTTTTGATGTTTCAATAGTTAGAAATAAATGAATGTTTATATTTTTATGTGTCATAGTGAAAATTTTTTTAAAAATGGATTATGATAGGAACTTTTTCTTATAAGTGATCAAAATAATAAAGAATATTTTTTCCAATTTATTAAAATAAATAATTTATATTTTCAGTAAAATGTTATTCATGAAAAACAAATTTCAAATAAGTTAATTTTTAATTATCAAATGATCTTTTAATTATAATTTATGATTTATTAATTTAACAAATTAATCAGTGTAATAATATGATAAGTAATAAATAAATATTATTTAAATATAATAGTTTAATATTAAAAAAATATTTTGAATATATTAGATGATTGATGGATGTTAATATTTTCAACAATTATTAAAATAATAAAAAATATTAAGTTTTTTCATAAAGTATTTTACACAAAAAATTATTTTACCCTTGTTAGGGGATTCTAACCTTTTTTTAAATATTATATATGTGTTTAGTTTAGCTGTTATTTTTAATCAAGTAACTTGTTTTGTCTTAGTCAGACAAATAATCTTTTGTTTAATTTCTCTAATTTGATTAGACAAAGTTTAATGGTTAAAATTAAGAATGAACAGCTCAGAATGTAAAGTTAAATATAATTTTTTGTCATTTTTCAAACATTTAAAACATACATACCAACTACAAAACATGATTAATTTTTTCTGTAGCACTTAATTTATAATTAAAAAGAAACAATCCTTTAATTATTTCATTGCATTCATTTTATATTCTGGTTTGAATACAGTAGTTTTAAATAAATTTTGATAAGATCCCTTTGCCATATTCCAAACAAGGACGAATGGCTATTTTTTGTCGTCACTAGAAGAAAAACATAAGAGCAAAAGGGCTCTGTATTCCTCCATGCAATAATTTTGGCCCCTCTACCTTGTTCTGCCTTTACCATGGCTCTCATTTCAACTTCTCTCCATTTTGACTACTCTTACTCTAAAACATGGTCATGGTTAAGCAAGAACACCAACGGAATTGATGATTTCTCACGCCTCTTCTTCACCCTTGTTGGTATTTTTGCTGTTTTTTGGTATACATGGAAGTACATCAAATCCAAGAATAAGGGAAAGCCGCCATCCCCACCAGGCCCTCGAGGCCTCCCCTTGGTGGGAAACCTTCCCTTCCTTCAACCTGACCTT